TTTAAAAAAAGTAAGTGTATTTAAACCACTTGTACCTATTTACGTGTACCACGTTTTTCTTTTTACAATTTCTTTACAGGTTTAGTCAAAGGTAAATTCCATTCCTTTCGAATTAAACCCTTTAGGTCTTTTCGTGGCTATGCCACTTAATTGAAAATTAAAAAGGTGCACATAAAAAATTAAAATTAATTTCGTGCCGTTTGGCCAAAATCAATTTGACCTTATTGTTGGGCTGAAGGGTTTCCGGACTCGCTAGCTTGAATCACATTTAATTCATTGGATGAAGTGAGCAAATTCTGAAATCCCCGTTTAACATTTAAGCAGGCTCATTTTTAAAAATGCACACTAGGCCACCGCGCTCTTTTGTGGCGGATCTCTCGAACTTTTTTTGCTAGGACAGCGCTGAACTTGAACATATTCACTGGAGAAGGGGATAGAAGTCCGGGGAGGCAGAGCGTGTAAAATGGCCAACGAAAATTGCAGCTGCCAAGCAAACACATGCAAAACCGCATCCGCCACTTTCGCGAGTGCCAGTCCGGGGAAGCCCAGGATCCGCACTTCCCGCCTTCCTTCCCGGGATGCCTCATTTGGCGGCTCGTTGTGGTAAAGAGCTCCCAAAAACATTAAAGCACTAAATGGGTAGACACTGAGATACCCTACACTCATAGAAATTTTTACCCTAAATCGCCCTAAAAAACTGACTTTTCGCCCGTGGATTTAGAAAATCGCCCATAAATCGTATCCGCTGGCGATTCGCCCGTGTATTTAGAAAAATTTTCTAAAAAATCCCGATGGAAATTTGGTTTAATTTAGGGTGATTTTTCTTGAAATAAGAAATATTTTCCTGTTTTTAGGGTGATTTGCCCTAATTTTAAGGTGTATTTTTCTAAAATTAAGGGCGAATTTTCTGTTTTTATAGGCGAATGCCCTAAAAAATTAGACAAATTAAAAAAAATCGTGTTTGAGCATGCTTAACTGAATTTGGGAAGCATGTTTTTTTTTTAATCGTCTATATTCTGGGAACTGGGACTGCTTTAATTAAACAACACCGGCGGAGGACACCGTTTCATATTATTGTATTGGTGTGAAGCTTATATGGGAGCCGCGTTAAGAGGGGGCCCGATCTATACAGCACAGCCGTTAGAACTGAAAAATCATGTTTGTAAATGAATTAGGGAAATGAATATGAGGAGAAAAAACAACTTACTTTTTTTGGTCATTGCGAGAATCGAACCCACGACCTCTCGGTTTAGAGTCTAACGTCCTACCGCTGCACCACAGACCCCTCGCGCAAGACGACGAACAAACTCTGCACACATCTTATTTTCTTGAGGTCTACGTTATAATATGACTAAAGGCAACTAAACCGTATATTTTTTTCCTGACGACTGTGACAATTAGTCCCGTTTTCTTGCCCGCAAACACAAAGTATGCTTTTAACTCAGAACTCCCATACGTTTTTAAGGTTTAAAGACTACTTTAATTTAAAATTCGGACGAAAAAATGTCCTCAGTATTATAATGTTTAAAAAAAAAAAAAACATAAAAATCAAGTTGAATCACACAGGGTTCGAACCCACAACCCCACGACCTTAGTCCTCATATAGCAAAGTTGAAAGCGCAAGTGATTAGACCGCTGGGCTACCGAATTTCACACTTTTGGAGTGATTTTTAAGGCAAACCGCCCTTGTATTTAGAAAAATTTTAGAAAAAAAATTAGGGCAATTCGCCGTTGGATTTAGAAAAGGTCAAAACGAAGCAAATCGAAAAAAATCGCCCTAAATATTAGAAAAATAGAAAAATTAACCCTAAAAATATTTATTTATGGTCACCTGCCTTAAATTTATGGCAAATTTGTCGTAAAAATAGAAAATTTTTCTCAGTTCAAAGGCGAAAAATTTTTTAGGGCGATTTTCTAAAATGTAGAAAATTATTTTTATGAGTGTAGTATACAAATACACATATTATATGTCTGACAAGATCTCAGCTAATATCTGGTAATTTAGGTTGGTATTAATCTATCGAAGCGTTCGAAAATATAAATACGCGTTTAAAGTTCCTAAAATTAATTCAACATCTATTTATTACACTCATAAAAATAATTTTCTACATTTTAGAAAATCGCCCTAAAAAATTTTTCGCCTTTGAACTGAGAAAAGTTTTCTATTTTCAAGACAAATTTGCCATAAATTTAAATCACTTGCGCTTTCAACTTTGCTATATGAGGACTAAGGTCGTGGGGTTGTGGGTTCGAACCCTGTGTGATTCAACTTGATTTTTATGTTTTTTTTTTGTAAACATTATAATACTGATGTATTATATTAAAGTAGTCTTTAAACCTTAAAAACGTATGGGAGTTCTGAGTTAAAAGCATACTTTGTGTTTGCGGGCAAGAAAACGGGACTAATTGTCACAGTCGTCAGACAAAAAAAAAAACGGTTTAGTTGCCTTTAGTCATATTATAACGTAGACCTCAAGAAAATAAGATGTGTGCAGAGTTTGTTCGTCGTCTTGCGCGATGGGTCTGTGGTGCAGCGGTAGGACGTTAGACTCTAAACCGAGAGGTCGTGGGTTCGATTCTCGCAATGACCAAAAAAAGTAAGTTGTTTTTTCTCCTCATATTTATTTCCCTAATTCATTTACAAACATGATTTTTCAGTTCTAACGCCTGTGCTGTATAGATCGGGCCCCCTTCTTAACGCGGCTCCCATATAAGCTACACACCAATACAATAATATGAAACGGTGTCCTCCGCCGGTGTTGTTTAATTAAAGCAGTCCCAGTTCCCAGAATATAGACTATTAAAAAAAAACATGCTTCCCAAATTCAGTTAAGCATGCTCAAACACGATTTTTTTTAATTTGTCTAATTTTTTAGGGCATTTGCCTATAAAAACAGAAAATTCGCCCTTAATTTTAGAAAAATACACCTTAAAATTAGGGCAAATCACCCTAAAAACAGGAAAATATTTCTTATTTCAAGAAAAATCACCCTAAAATAAACCAAATTTCCATCAGGATTTTTTAGAAAATTTTTCTAAATACACGGGCGAATCGCCAGCGGATACGATTTATGGGCGATTTTCTAAATCCACGGGCGAAAAGTCAGTTTTTTAGGGCGACTTAGGGTAAAAATTTCTATGAGTGTACTCATCGAAATAATAGAATTTTCTAAACTTTTCTGAGCCAGTATTCATTTTTAGCTTTTCCTTCTTAATCTTACATCCTGCATACCTTAAACGATTGCGGGGTATTATAACAACGGCCGAGTTAGCAAAAATGTTTAAACAGCTGGTAAAATACAAAGGACAAAAAGGACGTGGGTAAATTTATGGGGCGGGGAGGGTGTAGACCTGTCGGAACACAAAATCTGACGCCTAAACGCAGCTTAGCGATTAAAGCGCTTTTCAAATTTGGCCTCAGGGGGATTTTTAAGCGACCAAAGCTGGGTTACATTTTGTTTTCCTTTTTTGCCGCTGCTCCATGTTTGTTTTGGCTGGGAGAACAGGGCCCAAAGGGAGCTAATGCCTGGGTAGTGTTAATTTTCCTCCGAACTGCAGCGACAAGTTTATTTTGGTTCGTTGTTTTCGCTTCTACTGCATGCTTTGAGGCGTTTGCGGTTGTGGATTCGAATTTCCATGGGAGTGTGTTTTATTGGTAATAAATAGATACATGGACGTTAAAATCGTCTAAATGCGTTAGTAGTGCTTAAGAGTTAGCCAATAAAAAAACGGTTATGGATAAATAAATGGGAGGTCTATAAATTTCAATAAATATTAAGACAACATTATACTCAAGTCTCACTTAATAAAACAATTAAATTAAATAAATAAAACAAGAAATTTAGAAAAAAAAGTTATTTTTAAGGGCTAGTACAAAAAGTCTTCCAAAACAAAAACTTCATATGAATCAAAATTTTTTGAGGTTGTTTTTGTTTTTGTTTTGGACGACTTTTTGTTGGGTTGAGTACTAGCCCTAATATAGAAAGTATGAAGAAAATTGAATTGTTATTGACCCTTTGTTGCTTGCTTTGGATTCGACTAATTGACTGGATTTACTAAATAGATTCATCAAATGTTCAACGAAGGTGACCTTGGTTTTCCGGTAAAACCAAGCTCCCTGATTAAAAAAGGCATTTAAAATATTTTGTACGGTGTGATTTTTTTTTCAATCTTTCAAAATTTAAGAAAGTTGCATATGGCCATATTTGATTGCTTTAACATCATGGCGATAAACTCAGTTGAGTTTAAATGAATCCCTTTAATTTGAGTTATTAAATGTTTGACTTAAAAGACACATGTTAAATTAATTAGAGTTGCACATAGTGCTCAATTTAAATTTATAAAACACACTACTGTTAACGAAGGACATTTAGTGAAAGGGTCATCTCTAATTGATATTGAAACACACGTCCGTCGTCAATTTCTATTTCCCAATTTTCTTTTCACCACATTTCATATTTAATTAGCAGTAAACAAGTTGGATTCATTTTTAAGCCATTTTCACTTCTCTCTTCCGATCAATTTGTAATTTTGCCCCATTCAAGTGCACAAAAACGAATTGCATAATTTCCAATATTTTCTCTTCAGCAGTGGACAAGAAAAAACACTCCTCGAATGTCTAACCCCCCAAAGTGAAGGACCAATGTAGAGCAAGTCACAGTCACAGCTTGCGACATTGCCAATGTTGTTGCTAAATTGTTAAATAAATCAAAATCCCAAATCACAGGAACCAGACCCTCAAGCTAAACTGGCACGCCAAGTGCCAATTGCAGGGGAATCACCGGGCCGAGTGGGTGGTCGGGTTGGATTGGGTGGCTCGAGTGGGAGGCGACTGTTATTGATGTGCTTTTAATTGAGGCTTGTGTGTCTGCTGCATGTTGCTGTCAGCATTCGGTGACTGCTCCTCCCCGTCTGGCATTTCGACCCCCTTTACACTGTCACTTGTCCCAGCATTTGACTCATAACGGAATTTTATTAGTTTTTCAGTTTTCAACACTTACCGGCACTCGACGTGTGGGCCATGCAAATGGTCAGCACCAAAATAGCCAGGCTGGTGGACCAGTGAATTCCCAACAAATTCCCCCCATCTGTCCGCCTCCGACGACCCCGCCGCTGTTGGTTATTATTGCATTTTTTCCTAGACATCTGTAGATCCTTTCCGGAATCCTCCTGATGAAATTCGAGGCAGAGTCTCAGCTGGGATGCCCCCGAGTGCTTCTCTGTCCTGTGCATTTGTGATGCTGCAATGCAAGATGGAGAAGCAAATTTGTAATGAAATACTTTAAGTTATCTTAATTACTAAATCCGTTCCCCTTTTTGGGGCAAGTACTACGTCTCAAAGTTCTATTGATTTTTCCTAATTTATGCCAAGTCTGCTGCATCAGCCAGAAAAGTTTCAGAATTAAAAAATGTCAGGAAAAATTGTTACAAGTTTCTGGTGAAAGTTTGGAAGGAAAAGGAATTCGTTAAACTCGGAGTTAAGGGGTCAAGGCGTCGGTTCCCAAAAGTATTAATTGAAAAAAGTCAATTGGGTAGTCAAAACGTGATGGACAAACTCGTCATCTGACCTTGGTAACTAAACATTAAGGGGAAGAAGCTTAAGATAATTTTAACTTTCATAATTTTGTGGCATAATTCTTGATATTAATAAACCATGCCACTTTTGACACTTTTAAGCTTTTTAATTTGGTTGCTTCACTTTGAATTATTATTAAATAAACTTTATTAAAACAACACAAAGCTCCCATTAATTTAAACGATTCAAGCTTCAGCCAATCGTAACCATATAATTTGCATTTATTAAGTTTTCGCATTCTTAACAGCGTTCGGCTAACACAATAAAGATGTTAAATATTTTATGATAAGTGATTTATGTCAAACTTGCCATGAATATTTCATATCAACATAATTTGGTTAACGGTTAACATTTATGGTAACCGAAGGTATGCGAGATGCTTAATTTGATAAAACGCTTTGGTTTCAATCAGATTGAATTCGCATAAAATTACTAGAACTCGCCATTTGTTTGCCAAAAATTCGGCAGAGAAGCTCGATTTATGTAAATTAATGAAGAGCGCATTTGACAGATACAACAACATTTTTAAAAAATCTATTAGTGCACATCTGAAGCTGTGAATCGAATTCCGGGAGCGGATAGAACAATGCAAAATGCTGTACAGTTTGACGCAAATTAAATATTAATTAGTGTGGCGTGTGCATAAAAGTTAATTAATGTTTTTTACGCCCTAGGTGTTAATAATTAATGAGCGTGAGTTGCTTTTTTGCTCTCTGGCGCCCTGTCTTTTATGTCTGGGCGTTGGGAGTAGCTGTTGATTTACGGATAATTAAGCAGATTGCAGAGTTATGCACAATAAATAAATATTTAATCAATCAGTTTGTGGCAATCAATATGGATATGTATCAATCCATTTGTGTTTCAGGCCTTTAAAAGGTATTTAATGTGTTTATTAAATAGTTTTTTGTTTGCTCTAGATAAATAAAGCATTATTTTTTTAATAAATCAGGGACTCCGAGAGTTTGTTTGTCACTAAATTTAAGATTTATTTTGCTTCAGTTCATTTTTCTGTTCAACTTCTCTCGGCAAACATAATAGTTTTCGCTTTCAAAATTTGTATAACTCCACTGATGTTTTTGTGTTTTTAAAAAGAATTGGGAAAATCGTTTTGATAGTTTAAAATAATTCGTGAAAATGCCCAAAAACAATGGTACGTTAAAGACAAATTTATTTCCTTTTAGCTTTTTCCTTTTTTTATATTCTTTAAGGACCAGGACCCGGAGCTTACATGCTGCCGAGTAGTTTTGGTCAAAAGGGCCCACAATTCTCCTTCGGCCGAAGAATTGATCGCAGAAGAGAGGAAAAACCTGGTCCTGGGCCAGCTGCCTATAAGGTTGATAAGGTCACTCGGTACGGCAATTCGGAGGGCCCCCAGTTCTCCATGTTGGTCAGGAATCCCAGGACCAAGCCTCATTCTATTCGATTCGCTTAAGGACGCCTGTGTGGAATATATGTGAGCCCATGTGGCAATAGAATCCTATAAATCAATCGGTGTGCTTATTATATTAGTTTTAGAATATATCAACAATAGTTACGAAAGTGCCACATTAAGTACGCTTTAGATAATAATATATCCTCTTAAATTGAAACTGGTTTAACCGACCATTTAGGGGACTTATTACCCGCATTGCACTTCCAATTTGCTTTAATTAATGTCCAAGACATTGACGCACAATTTACATTCAAACCGTTGCCAGGGCAACAGGGATTACTAATCGTCGTTTCCCTTTAACTCTGCAATTAATTCGATGACACATTCAAATCGACCGGGGATGGATGCACCAAAATGCAAATCGGCTGCGGGGAAGGCAGGGGAATCGGAAATAATGACAGCCTGTGGTCGCTGTTCGGTGATACGAGTATTGATACACAATGCGGCGACAACCACTTGTTGGGCCAGAAAAGCCTTTTTGCCCAGGACACTCCAGTCGAGGGCTTAGAAGAGGGCTCTTGGGCTCTTCAGCTGTTGGGCTTTGTGAATGCCTGACTGGAGGACGTGGAACTGTAATGAAGCCGCCGGCCGAGCCCTTAAGTAACTCACTTTGCAGTGACCGAACTGGCCAAAGGAGCTGCAGCTTCTGGCATCTAAGCGAAAGCCTGTTATTTTCTCCGCTGCCTGTAATAATCACACAGTAAACAGGCAGCGGACAGAAGACATGACTCGCGTTGAGATGGCACTGCTACACAGGAAAATATGCACTTTTTTGGTTATAAATGTGGGGATATTTAGAGCTATACAACGAAGACATATTTAACTCTCGACCCAGTCAAAGTCAGACACAGAAACCATTATTTTATGGGAACAGAAAAAACTTTTGGACTTTTGGTTTTCGATCGGAACCACATGATTCGTGATCTTTCAGCTGATAAAACCTTTAAGTTAGTTTACTTCTGTATTTTCCCATTTTATACCAAAAACTCTCGATATTAAAAATATTAAATGGCTTATGGGTTAAAAAATTGTTATTAGTGTTTAAAATAGACTGATATTGTCAAATTAATATTGATCTTATTTATTTTGTCTGCTGGTATTACCCATTCGAAAGCAATCCGCTTTTCTCACCGTGTACTGGACTTGGTCGTGGGAATGGCCAACAGAAAGCCAAAGAAAGGAAAGGGCTTTGGACTAACTGACCCCTCCCATCTGGCTGCCAGCCCAGTTGTAATTGCAACGTCAACGTAAATGCATGGCACAAGCAGCGGCGACTCTGGAATTTCACGGATGTGCGATGTTGTGCGTGCATTTTGCAGATGCCCCAACTGACCGCCGCTTGGACATCACGTATTCGCACTGGCACAGACACAGACGCAGCCACACCGACAGGAGCCCCCATTTGATTGCATTTTCGCTGCTCCAGGACGCGGATGAGGATGAGAGGGGATAAATGTAGGGGGGACTGGGTGCCCGGGAGCTCAGGAACTTGGGAACTTGGGAGCTCTGCCCCCGTTCCACTTTTCCAACCGAAGATTTATCTCTGCGCGTTTATTTTAATGTTACGTTCTGGCATCTCATTTTTGCCTGCCAACGATTCTACTCAGTTTTCGTATTATACCCTTTATCAAAGGTCTTGTGGCTGATGGCCTGGATTTCTTGAGCAATTGAAATATTATTGAAAAACGTTCTCATCTTTTCTTAGAAGGGATCTCTTTAAATGTTGAAATATTTTATTTTAACTCTAATATTTGAAAAGAAACTAGAAAATTAAATTGAGTAAATAGACTATTACCAAATGATATAGTTAAGCCATAAAGACAAGATAAGAAACCATTTGCCCCAATTTCTGCCTCTATATTATTATCATCCTTGCATTTGAAACATTTAGCGGAAATAAAATTGTAGAAACATTTGAAAATTATTTTAATATAACCTATAACATTTTCAGTCTTAAAACCTCATAAGCTTATACATTTTCGAAGCTTAATTGTGCATCTCCTAATTAAATATGTCAAGCCAATCTCCTTGAATGTTTTCTCACAGTTCCAATCAACAGACCACCTCTCCAGTGCATCTAATCTTCGCCTGACGACTGGTTTAGTTTTTGGTTGGTTTAAGCAGTCTCTTTCGATGCATTGCCCATTGGCTGGATGTCTTTGTCTTTATGAAGCCGTGGCCGTAGGTTGCCATCATCATCTTCACCCGCCCATCAGCAGTGCCATCATCATCTGCAGAAGCAGCAGAAGCTGCATCCTCGATGGCGTGCCATTCCTGAACGTGGTACGTTGACCGCTCGGAATGTTGATTCATCTTCTTGGGTATAACTGCTGCCAGTTTGCACGGACTACTCTTGGTTTTATTTTTTATTTTTTTAACAACTCCACTTGCTCTTTTATGTCAATCAGCAGCTTGGCATCCAGCTCCGTGGCTGGCTGCTCCGCGTTTATGGGCCATCATCTCCATCAGCCCGGTTGGAGTATGGCTGCGTCTATTTTTAGTGGAGCACATGCGACGCTTTCGCCAGCTCTATTCTATTCCTGACTCGTTCAGTATGTTAGATCCCAGGTCCGGTCTCTATTATTCCCATAATAAGCGAAGATTGCCCTTAAGTGGCTGACAGGCTTTGAGCGTACAATGCATTCTTCTTTATTTTTAGCACGATCTCAGCCTGTCTGGCCAGTTGCATGAATAATTGCCAGTTAGGTTTGCAGGCCCACATGATCGGAGTGGATAATTGTAAATGGGCATAGAACTTAATTGCATTTAAATGCTGGGGGGTGTGGCCACTGCTGAAATGCTGCCTATGAAATTCTAAAAAAAGCCAGTCTTCAATGAAAAAATGTAGAATTACATTAATTCAATATACTTTGGAAATAAATCCTTTTTTAAGCTTCACAACATTTGCTTTGAACTAGATTAAAGCTATTCTTCAGGACCTTTGAATCACAATCTTTTAGGTACCAAGAAGAGGGTTGAATATTATGTGATGAATTTCGTAGAAAGAGGAAAACCATGCACGACTTCCCCTTTTCTGCTAACTGTCATTAGCAATTCAGGCAATCAATGGAACACTTTTAGCAAAACAAAACGTATTCGTAACAAAAGATAATGTTAATTTGACAGCCCCCGGCAATTGATTTTCATCCATCTGACAAACACAGGCACGTTGATTGAAGGGTCATTACAGGGCTATAGGAAGTCGGAGCATCGAGCTGACCTCACACGCATTTAGCTTTATTTATTCTATTTCCGATTTTAATTGATAGTACTGAATTGAGTTGTTGGCTCTAGCCTAACCTCCCCTTGATTAACCATAATCGACCCTGTTCCACGCACGTGACTTGTTTAAGTGATTGCTAAAAAATAATTTTCGCTTATTAAATGTGCCTGCTAAAATTGGGGAAAATTGAGAGTCTATGGCGAACTAATCACAACAAATAAAACCATTAATATAACAAGGTTCGCACTTCGTATGGGTGACCCAATTGTTTTTTTTCTGGAAACGTCGAGAATCACCCGATTATGGAATTAATTTTCGCAATATTCGCTTTACTCTGTTTTTGGGGAATAACTTTAAACGGTCACCTTAACTTTGCTCATCGGAAATGATCCCCATTAAGCTGCAGTAAGTCTTCGTCGGTCAGCCCAAACTAAGCTAACGCATTAAAACTTTTCAAGAATTTAAGACTCATTTAATGTGAGTCAAAAAGTCAATAAACCCAAAGCGTTCGACTTCTTCCTGCTGCTCAGCAAAAAATCCGAAACCAAGACAAGAAAACAAAAGTGGAGCAACAAAAACCTGTCACGTTCGACAAAAGTGCATTCACATTTTGAAAGTCAAAGCGAGGGAGAGCGAACTTTTAATGTATCTTCGATGGAGTAGCCATCCCATTCTTGTTCCGCCAACAGAGTCAGATTCAGATACATTTCTATCTTAAAGCCGCATCTCGACAACTTTCGTTGTTGGTCAAAGACAAATTCAGCCAATTACTTCATTATGCGTTGAGGTTTCTGGGTTCTTGGGCCTCGGCCTCGTCTGGCCGACTCCTGCTTCGGGTTTTGGGGTCCCGGTCCCTTCTCGACTGTCTGCCTGCTGTCGTCTGTCATCAGGTGAAAGGCAAATAAAACGTCAATTTGTATCGCCAGTTGTGTCCTTTTCTTATTATTCATATGCACATTACACATTCTGAATTTATTCATGCCTTCGGAGCAACCTTTTTGTGTCAATAATCATTTACATGTTTATCTAATTTGGGCGGCATTTTCCGTCGGCTTTTTATGACGGCTTCAACTTGAACTTGGGGTGAAATGGTATTTCGTGGGAATTCAATTAAAGCCGGCAAAAATGTGGGCCACGGCACAGATACACAGATTTAAGTTTTCAGATACTTTTGCATTGCGCTGTTTTGTTTTTTTTGGAGCCGCTTCCTCTCGACTTGTTGCCACGCCGAAAACGAAAACGAGTTGATGACCAAGCCACAAAAATGTGCACTGGAAGTTGTAAAGCGGCCAATAACTAAAAAACCAAAAAACCCAAAACAAAAATCAACCGACCCAATGCCAATGAAACGAGAAACTTTGTAGTTGTTGCTGCCGGCCTGTCATCGACGTCAGAGCAAGTGTTATGGCAGCAATTATTGTGGTTTCCGTATGCGAATTTTCATTTTGACAGCCCAAAAGCAACTGCCCGTCGGATGGAGGATATTTCCTGAATAATTCTTTGATGGGTGGATGCACACAGCGCTCGAAATCGATAAAGTTCATTTCACAGCATGGGTGGAAATAGACAAAACTATGTGAGAACGAAAAGGCTAATCTTAGTTGTTGTGGTTTTCTTATGATTATAAATATTTTGTTCAAGAAATGTAATTTAGAAATTATCATTTTGAAAGATTTGTAAGTCTAACAGTTAACAACAACATCTATTAAAAAATATTATTCTAAGATGTTAAGATTATTTCAATATTTATAGCCTCAACTTCTCAATCTAAATATTTAATTATTTCAAGTCCAGAAATATTTGTTTAAACTACCAATAAAATTATAAAACAATTACAATAATTCTATTCTATTATAATATTTTTAAAGTAATTCATATTAATTTTTCCTGCACTAA